GGCCGCCGCGCGCGCGTCCGGGGTGTCGGCGGCAGCCAGGGGCCGAGGGAGCCGATGCAGCGAGGGCAGTGGGTGCGGAACCAGTGGATAAGGAATCCAGGGTCTGCGAGCGGGTGGAACTCTGGTCATGGATTGGCCGTGGATGCCACCACCGCCCTCCTCTCATCACCACCGCCATGATAGATCCAGGGTCTGAAGCCTCCTGGGCACATTCCTTAGCCAGCGCCCCCGCCGTAGTCCATCCAGGGCTCTCTCGCGATAAAGGCTCGAGGTTTGGGCAATGTTCTTACACCCCACCTGGCAGGTTAAGGCTGTTGTATTACACCCCTGCTTTGGAAGTGAGACAATGCTGCGTTAAGAGAGCGGACTTCACTCCAAGCGTTTTCTGAAACAGCGGTCCAGGTCCAGAGACACGACAGTTCTAGGAACAAGAAAAGCTCCAAGAAACACCGAGTGTCCAGTCCAGATTCTTGCTAGGGCGAACCCTGGAGTCCACGACACGCTACACGTTTTCTTGTGCTTACTGATTGGGGCACTCCCCACCCCGCAGGTTGGGGCCCTTGCGCTAGTCACTGGTATGAAACTCGGGGGCGGCCGGGCGGCGAAGAGGGGGGGTCCAAGAGGGGGGGGGAGGGGGGGGGGGGGGGGAATCATGGCCAGAGGCATGTGCGCGGCCCAAGGGGGGTCCAGGGACGCAGTGAAATAAGAAGTGAGCCATGACATCTGGGGAACTATCATGGCCCACGCCATGATATCCACCTCCCCCTAGTCATCACCCCCCTCTATGCCGCCCCCGAGAAACAGCACCCTGACCACCTTGGGCTCCAGAGGGGGGGCTCTTGCACGGTTTCCCCCAGGGCCGTAGGCGACCCCCCGAGGAGGAGGAGGAGGAGGAGGAGGAGGAGGAGGAGGAGGAGGAGGAGGAGGAGGAGGATAATGAGGGGGTGGAGGAGGAGGAAGCACCACCAAATCGAGTTCGAGCGCGCCGAGCGGGGAAAAAGAAAGGCCGAGACAGGCGGAAAAGGCGAGCACGCGCAACTCGTCGATGAAACAAAACCAGAAGACGACGGAGGCCGACTGGCAAGTAAAACGTCAAACGAATTACCGAAGGCGAAGCCAGAAGCAGGCTTCGTCCGAGACAAGGAGTGGGCGAGGCTCGCCCCTCCATTTCCCCGAGATAGGATCTTTCCCCATCTCGAGGGCTTTGAGATATGTAGTGCCCTCACTGGATGCAAACCCTTGGCACTCACCCCACAGGCGAGACTGAGGAGCCGAGGGCTGGCAACGGGCGCCACAACAACGGCATAATGCAAGGGTGCCTCCAGCAAGGAGGATGACGTGCCCTCGGGCGCTACGAGAATCGACAGGACCCTGAGCGGAGAGGGGACGGTCGGGGGGGGCGGCATCACGGGCAACCCAGGGCGCCCCAACCCGCGGGCCCCCAGAGGCCCTAGCCCTCTTGGGGGGCGGAGGCCCCCCAGAGCCGCCCAGGGAACCCTGCTCACCAGCAGGGGCGGTGGGGGGGGGCGTGCACAGCCAACCGAGGCGCCTTCGGGCGCGGGCCCCCAGAGGCCGCATCAGAGCCGCTCCCCTTACTAGTCCCCTCGCTCCTGGCGAGACGTGGGGAAAGCGGGGAGGGGTCAGGATCGACCTGGACACGGGGGGCTTCGGCCTGGGCCTGGTCACGCGGGGCCTTAGGGAGCCAACCCGCACAAGCGTCGGCGAGGTCGAGATCCCGACGCTCTTCCCCCGTTTGAAACCTCACCCGTTTAAACGCCAGGAGCCGCTCAGGGCCCTCTACCGCCGAAGGCTGGAGCTCATCGTCGTCCACTTCCAGCGGGCCCTTAGGGCCCAGGCGAGCGAGGTTGGCGCCCGAGGGGCCCTCAGGACCCGCAGGGGGCGGGGTCGAGACCCCAGGCGGCCCGACAAGACCATCACCCGCGGCCCCCCAGACGTTGAGCTCGAGGCCCAAAGGGCCGCAGCCTCGGCAACTCTACACGTGCGGAGCCTCAGGGCCCTCGCACCTTTGGCGGACAAGGCATAGGCGGGGCAGCGGTCACAAGCCCACTTTTGACCACGCCTCCGCACGAGGTGAGGATACTCCACCACGGCAGGCGGCGGCGGCGCCCCCGCCCGCTGGCCGTTCTCGGCCGCTGCTCGCTTCGCCTCAGCCGCATCCCGCTCCTGGGCCCAGCGCTGTCGCAGCGTCAGGGGTCGCCGCCTCGGAATCTCCACGCGGTCGGGCGGCGCGGTGCCGTCGAAGGTGACCGTGGAGACGTTGGCAATCCAGGAGGCGACTTGCCTCGCTCGCACCAGGGCCTGCGTGTGCCTGTCCACTGCGTCTCGAGGAAGGTCGTGAAGGCGACGGCCCCGCTTGGCTGCTTGATCCGCCAGATGGTTGCACCGCCTCTCCCCGGTGTCCTCCTTCGAGTGGCCCTTGACGTAGGTGACGCGGACAGGGGCAGGGTACTGGAGCCAGGCGCATGGAGACCTCCGTGGTCATCGATGTGGCGCCAGATTTGTCTCCACAAGTCCACGTTATCTCGCCGAGGACTGCGGCGCCAGCCCCATCCACGGGCCAAGCCATCGAGCAAGGGCAAGTAATCCGTGTGGATGTGGAGCGGGGCGGTTCCAATCGTGGGAACCTGCAGCACAGCGCGCAGCTCGGCGCGTGCCGAAGTCTGGCGAGGGCCAGGCAAAGCACCAAACACAGCTCCCAAGTAGCTAGCATCTTCCACGACCACGAAGCCCCAACCTGCCCGTGCTGCAATATCCCATCGCAATAGCTGCTTGCATGAGCCGCCCGTGAAGATGCACCCTGTGACGACCGACTAAGGGCTCAGCACGCGCTCCGCGATCGTAGTGCCATACACCAGTGTCGCACTTCGGGGGCAGCGCGGGCAAGAAAGAGTTGGGGAAGGAGCCCCTGGAGTAGAGCAAGTCCCCAGGTACCGTGGCCAGGGCAGCGTCCAGCGTACCTTCATCCACGGCTCGCTCTCGCATGTCGTCCAATGTAGAACAGCACCAGTAGCGATGATGAAGAAGAGTGCCTAGGGTACCCCAACAGTGAAGACAATGCGGGTTCGTGGCGTAGGCGTACTGGTATAGCCTGCGCTGCGAGAAGTGACCACCCAACACCGCCGTGCGCAGAGCAGCTCTCGCCAAGGGATCCAGGACCCATCTCTTGGCCTTCGCCCCTGCCTGCAATAACCCACGTATAGGTGCGAGCCAGATGCCTGCAGGATCTTTGAAAAACGGCCTAGGCATTTCAGGCGTGACGTCTGGCCGCTGCGCCCACTGCTCCCAACCAACCACCTCGTAGCCCAGCAGAGCGGGCCACTTGACGACGGAGGGAGCGGTAACCCGAAGGTCGAGCACATCCCCAGCGCGAGTCAAAACGCTGAGGCACGAGGAGCACTTCCAGCCAAGGTGCAGCACCGATCGCGAGAAGGCTCCAGCAGGTCCTTTGACGAGCTTCCAGTTCGTGGGTGCGGGTGCAGACGCAATCTGAAAGCACTGCGTCCTCCAGGCGACCTGCATGGCGCCCATTGAACATTCATCAGACTGCATCATGAGCGCCCAGTTGTAGATCAGGCCGGCCACTGCGACGCACCCGGGGTGCTGCGATGGGGAGCGGTCTAGCCGAGCTGCAATCAAATGTGAGCCACCACTCGGTATCGCATCCCAGCCATGCTTCACCATTGCAGTCATCCTGGGTAATACATGCGGGGCAGCGCCTAAGATGTCCAATTCGTAGGTGGTGGCAGGGCCGACCGCGGCCCGAGCGACCTTCTTGAACTTGGCCCCGAACGCCCGCAAGCGCTTGAAGTGTCGAGCCCTCTTGCCCACGTTGCGCATGCGCCTTCTCAGCACATGCCCGTGGTAAGGTTTGCCTGCGCCAACTTCCAGGCCCAGTACTTCGAGCCAGGATTGTGGACGGAAGCCGTACTTCTTCAGTCGCCTAGCCACCAGGGTCGGTACCTGCTCGTCGGAACCTGCAAGCAAGGCCTTGGACTTCGCAATAGGGAGACCCAGGTCCGTCAAGGAGTCGCAAAGCAGCTTGATCACGTCAACCGACATCTGCTGGAGAAACCTGAGCTGCGTCTCGATCTGCAGGGTGAGGTCGTCAGCGAAAATGTCCAGCGACGACGAGAAACCTGCATCACTGTTGACTTGGAGGGGGTACACCATGGCCACGAAGTCGTCCATGGCAGACAGCATAAGGAGCTGGACTAGGGCCATGGCGTACGTGCACCCAGGCAACACGCCTTGGTCCACCACGACCGAGTAAGAGGTGGCCTGCAGCCACACCAGTCTCCGTGGCGCTCGGTACATGGCCAACGCACATGATAGTAGCTGCCGAGGGAAGGCGTGCTTCTTGGCTGTCTGAATGAGGCGACGCCAGCAAATGCGATCGAAACACTTCTCGACGTCCATGATGGCCGTGATGACGCCTTTGTCGGAGGCCAAGGCCGCTTCAGCGCGAAGGAGGGCGCGAGCAGCCACATCTTGAGTCGTCTTGCCGACCGCCAAGGCAAAGTAGGGCCGATCATGATCTTGAAGCCACTGCCGTAGTTGGACGCTGCGCATTTGCGTCCACACCCGATACACCGCCTGCAGCAGCGCAATGGGTCGCCAGCCTCCCTTGGGCTTGGCCGGCAACACAATGTGGACGGCCATGAGCTGGGTCGGCCAGCGCCCCCAGTGCTCGGCAAGCCACATGATGTAGACCAGCAGGGCGAGGGTGGAATCACTGAGGAGGCTCAAGGACCTGGGGGCCAACTTGTCCGCACCCTGGCCCGTGTGCCACTTGAACTGCTTCGCGGCCCGCCGCATCCCGGCGACCTTGGGGACAGGAAGGGCAGCTTTCGGGAGGCTCTGCAGAGCCTCCCGCAGGTCGGCCGTGTCGTCGAAGTCCTCGATGTGGTGCAGCTGATAGTCGTCCTGACCCTGCCCAGCACCATCCACTCGCGCAAGCGTCGGGGGCCGTGATGCCGTCG